CTTCTGGTGTGATTCCTGGTCGGAAAGTAGCCTACGACGACCCTAGGAAGTTTGGCATTGACGATACCTGAATCGCCAAAGTCTTTTTTTCATCTTCGCAGGGTCAATTCGTCCCCCAAGCATGCAGTGAGTGGTTTTTCTGCTTATACACATTAATAACTTTGTACACCATCTTCCTGGCTTGCATCACCATATCTTCAACTTATGCTTCCGGAGAAAGGAATCATGCTTTCAAAGCTCATTACTTGAACTCTCTTCGACCCGAATATCTTACAGCTTTGAAATTTTGGCAGTTTCCCGAGTTACTCGGATCGTAGCCTCTGCCATTAATCTGAGCGAAGCCTTTCACCATCCGTGAATGATCAATGGGAGGGGATACCAGAAATTGGAACTGAAGGCCTTTCGTCATGGAAGAGAAGAAAAATCCTCCACAGAGGATGAAACTTTAGTGCACACGGCAGGAAAAAGTTCGTACCAAAATAAAGAATGGCAGGATCGTTACACATTCGCTTTGGACGTGCTGCCATGCAGACGTGGATTCGATCTGGACGAGTACCCATGAAGGCATGGGTCTGATTGGGGCGAGTTACTATACACAACGCTGGTCCATCGTAAAAACCTAGGCAAGGGTAGGGGATTACGCTACGGCTACGTGTGATTTCGTTCTCATGCATATATCATGAGCGATGCATAAGCTCTCATCATCACGAGTACTTCCCAACTCATTCCAATCCCCAAATTCAAACTTTTTGAAGAAGGGAACTTAGGTTCACAGAATGCAAAAATTTGAACTGAATTCTTAAGTCCATTAGGCTAGGTAGATTAGTTTTGCCTTTCATTAGGCAGATTAATCGGAAAATCTTCTGATATGACTAACATTACTATCACACCCATTTTCTATCATATCTAATCTGAGTCCAACGCAACCAAGATTTGTGGGATTCTCAAAACACTTGAGGGTTCCGTACTGAGAACGCTTTTCGTACCCCTGAATAAATGTAAATGAACATTAATATTTCCACAGTACTAATGGCACCAGGAAAGATTCGAATGCTACCACGTTTCTTACGTATGTCCTTCGCACCACGCTCCTCTACTACTTTCAAGGGCCGCAGCTTTGGTCTATAGGCCTATTGTCGCTTTCTATATTCAGGTTGAGTCACGTAGAATGTCTAACCCGGTACACGGTGAAATTGAAAAAGTAATCATGGGGAGGGTAAAGGAACGCTCTTTTCCAACACTGAGCACTAGGGCGCAAAGAGGGAGGGATAGATGGCCTTACTTGTGCTCAGAGAATGTTCTCAGACAAAAAAGATATTTCACATAGGCCTTAGAGGGAGGGCCACCGGGGTGGGTAAGAAGATGTCCTCGTGCAAGAAGCTGGGATCAGGTGAGAATTGGGCATTCATTTGACTCATCCACCCCGGTGCAACCTTCCCGCGAAGTCGGCTACTTTTCCTCCTCTACGCTCCAACGCTCAGGTTGAAAATGACCCTTCCCCCCCCCCCCCCCCCCCTTTCTCAACTATTATACATGTTCACATGTTCACCATTAACCCTTACGTTAACCCTTTCATGGATTGAAAGCCGATACTGAGAGAAGTCTGTACTGATCAGGATCAGAACAACAAAGAAACCTTGAAAAAATGAAAAGAAGATCTTCGAGTCTACTTCCTAATCCTTTTTCAGCCAAGACTGTTTCTTCAGACCAAGGAAGTTCTGCTTGTTTACTAGCAAATTGGAATAATTCGAGAAGAGACAAGAACGGAGATTTTATCGTCAAGAATAATGCACGTAGTTAAAACACTTGATAAACCGCTTTACGAAACAACTTTCATGTGCCATCTAGTGGGAGGATGAACTTATTTAGAATTCCCGCAAAGATTTCTATCGATAGGTGAGATTTAACCGTGGCTAACACGCTCGCAGCATCGGTGATGAGGTTTATGACGAGTAGAGAATGAGATGCATGAAAAAGAACCTCTTTTCTGATTCTATTCGACAAGATCCTGATGAACTCGGGAACCTAAGTTCTCTGCTGGGGAAGAAAAAAGCACTTTACGGCATCCAACAAGTCAAGTGAGGGTTATGCCAGGTTTTTTAGCCAGACTTTCAACAACCCTGTGTTTGGGATGTGCTTCCGCATTCGACTTCCAGTCGGAATCGTAGTGGAATACTGAATAAACATTTCACCTATAAGATGACTTGTGTGACTAGCCGTTGTATAATCAACGTTTTTATCCTCCCAAAACTAGTCTGGTACTAGTTAGTTGCCTCAAAGGGATGAAAAGCTCGGTTAGTAGACGAGGAGTGCACCTCTTGCAGGTGTGGTGCAGTAGGATCGAAATTGTCGCGTCGTGGCGAGATGGACGCCGCGAGCGAAGGACTGTAGCAGAATGCAGCAGCAGGTAAGAAGTACAGGATCAAAAGAACTAACAGTAGGATCATGCCTAAAATAATGATCGCATATCGATTTAGCTGAATGAAGAACGCTAAAAATGTTATAACAAGGCGAATGGTCCGCGACTACCGCGTGCGGCGAATCGATTACACAAAAACGATCCTACTGCCCGTCTCCTAACCTCTTGCTACTAAACCTCGGACTGCTAGCTCTATAGTCTGGCTTATTCGTGTAATCTTCAGTCAAACGGCTTGAAGTATGTAGCAAGCATTAAGCGACAAAGACCAGTGGAACAACTTCCGAGAATTACGACGTTACTGGTTAGAAATTACTGATATTTGGACACCCATCGCCTCAAAAATAGGGAACAGCCTAGTTGCAGTCGAGTCAACTCAAGTCTAAATGTTGAAAGGAAAAACCAAAGAAGCTATTTACCTTTTCTACTCTTTGAAATTCTTTCCATAACTGAGGAAGTATGAGCACAAAGTGTTGCCATTCAAGAGGCACGCATGTTTTCAGCTTTCACTCAACTCAGCATAAGAAATAAAATCGTCTCCTGAAGGTGATTGCCGAATAAAGTACTGTAATGGTAATAAGAATAACAAGTTCAAGGTTAATCAATCCAACCGGCTGCAGTCAATAAAGAGAATCGATTCCATAACAGTTGCATCGTTCGAAGAAGAAGCGAATTGGGAGGACCTTCTATGTCGTAACTGTTACCCTACATCAATCGCGAATTGACCAATTGTTCCTACATATTCGTACCCTAGTGATGACGACTGGTTGTTCCTTCTTAGCAGGGATAGCCCAACACTTTCAATCTGCACCTGGTCTTTTGTGCATGGCACAACGGTGTGAACAACAGTTTCCGCTTAAACGACCTGCCAGATCGAGCACCAACGCTGGCAAGAACGTCGATTTTGTTTGACAGAAAAGAGTAATGATGCGTTCCTCAGTAATGCCTACTTTCCATTTGGCAGTTATGAAGGACAATCCTGCCACAAAGCAAACAATAACACTTCATTTGAAAAGTAACACCTACAAAGAAACAGTCGATCGGTGCATATAGTGGAACCAGAGCTAAAAAGAAAAATGTAACTTTGGCTTAACTTGAAAAATGAAAAAATGAGAATATCCTGTGAGAGGATAATCAAAAAGATCAAGGGAATGGAGCCCCTCTACCATTTATCCTAACGCTGAGCTACCTATCCATATTTAGACCACCCCTGCTAACTTCCTGAAACGAGGGGTCCGCATCGAACAATGACCAGCCATCGAACAGTAACAGCTAGCCTCAACAAAATCAACAACAACCTAAAGCATAGCAAAACAAATGCTATGCTCTCCTCTAGCGTTTGTGTACCGTCAACAAACAGCAAACAAAATCAACGTACAACATAAACAAACTCGGCATTCGTGAAAAAGCGCTTGCCCCAAAAATCATCAACATTCCAATATAAGATAAACAAGGTAAACAAATACTGAACTCATCTTGTCTTTGGTACATATTTGGGCGAACAAACACAAAAAAGAAAAGGGATGCAAGTGGGAACGAGTAGTATACTGCCGGTAGAAATATTGGTTTCTTTTTGATGTTGTATTTGCAACTGACGTTACAAATACAACATCAAAAAGAAACCAATATTTCTACCGGCAGTCACTACTCGTTACAGTACACGATGACCTTAACCTCCCTACCACTGCTTACCTACTTCGCCTTTGGAAAAGGTGTTGCAGTTTGTTTCTGCACACCTTTACCTTGATTCTGTGGTTCATTCGAAGGCCCTGCACCATATTCATCGTCGTCGTCAGGTTCGATTTTTATGACGTGTTCCGCTCCAGTATCGTTGTAGTGCGGTCTGCAGCCGGTACAGTACCATTTCCCTGAAATTGAAAAATAGGAGAAAAAAAAAGACGATTCTGTTAACATTGACAATCGGTAAAATACTTTAACGAAGAAAAGTTAAGCCTCAAAGGGGTTAGAAGTATCTCCCACGATGAGAGGATAAGCCCAGAGATCTTTCAAACGAAATGCCCTTTACATTGAAAAATTCATTTCATAGTTAAGAAATGTTTCAGATGGGACTTAATGAAGCGACACAGTTGTCAGCTGTCTAACACAGCGAAGTTGGGTGGCTCTAGAACGACCCTTCTATTATCCTATACAGCCCATTTACTGTCATCCATACAGTGAAAAAGATGTAGAGGACAGCACTTCATCAGAAGAAATTCCGCCCTTCAACACACTGTGTCCCCCTGGACCGACTGAGAAGCTCGGATCAACACCGAAATGAGGTCACCGCGCGCGAAATTTGAAATTCCGAGCAAGCGAGCGCAGTAGCGCCTCCTGACCCAACAGCGAATGCTTCAAAAACCTACGCGCATCTATAACCATGAACGGAGGAAGCTTACGATCAATATAGATAAACGTATACAATGGAAAACCTGAATAATTGGGCTATCCATAGACAACATAACGAGCTAACACGAAAAAAAGTCAACCTGCCTTTTGGAACTCTCTTCAGACGACTACAACGAAAATGAAGCCAGCCACCGTATTTGCACGCTTCGCCATCGCATGCGATCATCATGCCGTTAGATCCCTTAAGAGATTCAAACTTGAAAGTATAGAAGCGATTAACAAAGTAACTATGTACTAAGTAAAACTGACTGAACGGCAGTAGCAGTATATCTCATTGTCCGGATTCACTTCATAAATCGCTGGCTGGACTCTAGCCAAAGTTCTCGGTGTTTGAGCATTCACAACAGCAGCACCTGGAAGTAAATCTGAAGAAAGTGGTAGTGGTAGTGTATGAAGTAGGAAACTCACGATCAGAATTGACTTCTTGTGCCGAATCGGGCTCATCCATTCTGTTGACCTCTCCATTTCCTCGATTTCCACGGTTGTCAGGTGTAACTTCAATGTTCGCTGGCTGGNTTCGCAACAGCAGCACCTGAAAGTAAATCTGAACAAAGTAGTAGTGGTAGTGTATGAAGTAGGAAACTCACGATCAGAATTGACTTCTTGTGCCAAAACGGGCTCATCCATTCTGTTGACCTCCCTATTTCCACGATTTCCACGTTTGACAGGGGTAACTTCAATAATTTTCTGGATAGCCTCGGGCACTTCAAATAATGCTTCAATGTTCCTCGGGACAGCCCTGGGTCTTTCTGGAACAGATCTGCGTAAGTTCTAAAAGTTATGCAGGAAATATAGATAAGTAATTTACCAGCAGCGGCACGGGTCCTACGAACTTTTGCGGGTGGCGAACTAAGGTCCACCTCCATTTCCTCATCGTCTGCCTTTCTAGTTCTCGGATTCTGTGAACGTCCGAAGCGACGAACTTGCCATGGCATTGGATATTCCAATACGAATTCACTGATTGAATAATCATACTTCATATACTGATTAAGCTTGTGCTTTTCATCGAATTCTAATTTATTCCATTCGGATTTGAACTCTAATTTAGCACGCTCGAGCCGTTTTTTGAATGGTGACGGCTGTCTGCCTCTGATGTAAGTTTCACCCTCATCTTCGCCCAAAAGCATTTGCTGCTTAACACTCTTGATCTCTTCTTGGATTAACATCAGCCGACGGCATTTGCTCTCGAAATCCTCGAGATCGTCTTCAGTGACAACCCGGTAGAATGGTCTTACCCTAGCAACTCTCTCAGTTCTTTCACGGATAGGGGACAACGGTGAGGAGTATCCACGATTGTGTTGACGGGGAGTACCCTCCGAAGAGTTTTCCTCTCCGTTTGAAAACTTCTGTCCACTTCCTAGAGAAGGTGATCGCAATGCATATCCACGTTCACGTACGTCCGGTGAATCATCTCGGTGAAATGCTCTTGTCTTTCCAGTACTTCCATACCGTTCAGGAGTTGGCCCATGATCGCGTTGGCGTGGGGAATCCTCGGTAGAGATTTCCTTCCCGTTCGAAACATCTGAAACTTTGAAATGTACGTTTCGCGGAGGAGGAGATTGCAGTGAATGTCCATGTTCGCGTGTGTCCGACAAATCATTGCGGAGAATTCCACCTTTCCTTCCAGCAGTCTCCAACTGTTTTGAGGGTGTCTGCGGGCAGTATCTACGATCGTGTCTGCGGGGTGACTCCGAAGAAGGTCTTCTCACAGTTAATCTTGGAATCTTTGCACGTCCAACTCTACGGATTGGAGATTGCTGTGAAACTTCGTCTTCGTTCTCATCCGAAGTTTCATCCGCAAATCTTACTCTTCTTTTCCTTTTCTCTACAGTCTTCGAACGTTGACCTTCGCACTCCATCTCATCCAGCGAATCGTACGAAAGGCGTCTTCTCACTATCGCTAAGTTTTCCGAACGCTCCTGCTCCTTCTTGGGTGTACGTGACTGCTTTGGGCTCCCGAATTTGGGCTCGTTTCCTTCTTCGTCTGACGAACTATCCGAATGACTGTCCTCGTCTGACGTCTCAGTTCCTTGGCCCTCGGATTGTTCCATTCCATGGTTACCCTTCCCGAAGCTCTCTGAACGCTTCTGTTCTTTCTTTGGCGCATGTGACAGCTTTGGACTTTTGAATTCGGGTTCGTTTTCGTCCGAAGAACTATCCGAATGACTATCCTCCTTCGACATTTCAGCTCCTTGGTCCATGGATTCTTCGATTTCATGGACCAAGGAGCATTCGTTTTTGTCCGAATGATTTTCCGAAGAGTTCTTCCTCGACTTCACTTCTCCAGGACCTGTCGCAGGTTTTTTCTTCGATGCGGAGCTACGTTTCATGGGTGGCGATGAAAACTTACGCTTCCGTGAAGATCTGCGAGCCTTCTTACGAGGTTTAGCAACTAATTGTTCTTTTGCTATCTTAATTCCCTCAGTTCTTAGCCATTTATCTTTCCCGAATGAAGCGAAAGATGAAGCCTTAGCATCCTTTTTGTTCAAGTTGACAGTCGTTGTGACAGCGGTGTGGTCAGCTCCAACGTTTGCATCATCCTCGACAGGAGGCGTATTTGGATCACTCCGATTACCCTGCTGGCCTGAAAAGCCGTTTCACGAATAACTGAACTAGGAAAAAGTCACCTGAGCTTAGAGTTCTAACCTTCATCTTCTCCGTTAGGTTCTTTTCCTGTGTAAAACTTCGACAGTTTGCCGTAAAGCTCATTACAGAACTTCAACTCATTCGCAGACATATTCAATTTTTCTTTCATCGTACGTTCATTCAATTCCTGTATGTAGAGAAGAATATTTTAAAATGATAAAAAAAAGGGTAGACATAAATCGAAAACATGTGGTTGCAGTAAGCAAGTACGCACCAGTGGTCTACCATGTGCCAGATAAAGTATTAAATTTAGGCCCAAAAAGCCCATTCGCTATAGGATCTCCTGCCTTCCCTGATTCAGGCGCGACCCTGGCCTATGAATCATGTCAAACATACAGAACGCAAACTATAGCCTTCGATTAATTCCGACTTTTTTATTGGAGTGTAACACAATGTTTCAAATTTGTAGTTTTCTAAACGGTGTTTCACCCCATAGTGAAAATACGAGACTTTTCGGGCAAATTGTGAAAGTTGTTTACACTTTTCACCATTTCACTTCTATTAGTAAATAAGTGAATTTGTTTTATTGTAGAGGTTATTGAGATTACAGAATGATGGCTTACTTTGATTTTGCCGAATTCGTTTTCCTTTCTCGTCTTGTCATCACGTTCAATGAGTCCATCAAGAGAGATTTTACAGTTTTCCATCATTTCTTCAATCTAGAATGAATCATGAAAATTTCAAGATCAGAGAATCTTCAAAAACCGAAAGAACATAGCCGAACTTACACACCTTGGCAGTTCTTGCATCCATTTCTCGACTCACTGCGTGAGGAGTTGGAGACTTGGTCTTTTTCGAATTGGCCGCTTTGTTAGCTTCCGACATGCTTGTTATACTGGTTACAGTATCAACTATTACCCTGAAATTTTTCGTTGTAGTAGACCTTAAAATGCTAGATATACAGAACGTGCACGTACGTATACCAAAAGGGTCCACGCGATGAACAAGACGAATTACGAGCTCTTCTAGGTGGAGAAGCTATAGATAGGCATTCAAATGTTGACCGTGTTACTGAACCTGATGAACCTACTGACAAGGTAGCCGTCTTGAAAATCATGCAGCAGTAATTCTATTCAAGTCATATAACTGAGTAGTCAACTCTGGCACCTGTGCTACGGCTAAGAAAATGTGCGCATCACTAGGTCATGGCGCGAACTTTCATACTTATACATCAAAATTGTACACTGTCGCTTTGTTCGATTTACTTTTACAGATTCTTATGGGTGGAAAGTCACCAAGATGGCCAAAATTGTACACTGTCGCTTTTTTCGATTTACTTTCAAAGGGTTTTTATGGGAGGAAAGTCTATCAGGATGACAAATAATCCATATATTCTGGCAGAGTATACCTCCCTGGGAAACCCCATCAGTGTACTGCACCTTATCCAGGGTTTCCAAATTTCCTTCCACATTCTACACTAAACATTTTATGATGTGAGGCTTCAAAATGAGGTCCGGTATCTTCTCCCCGAAAATGGCGTCGCGTTCGCCGCGCCCGATGACGCGCGGCGAACGCGACGCTATGAAGGAAAATGTTTGAATCCCCAGCGCAGGGATGGGGTAGCCGCCTGCGACCACGGCCGCTCGCCGTAGAAGTTCGGGTAGAAGTCCCGGCACCCTTCAGAATTCACTCCAAAAAAAATTTCAAAATCGTAGAAGTGCAATGAATTTGATCATAGAGCGTAGTAGGAGTAAATGGCTTTAAATGGCGACATAGAACGAGAAAATGAAGAAAAAAGTCGGACCACATAGAGAACGCTGGGTTACGACTGGGCTGGGTAGGCCTAAAATTGAATAATGAGAGCGTTTGAATTCAAAAATATCCCAAACGGTTGAACAGTTGACGGATATACGATACCCAGCTGGATTTTTACCGTATTCAACCAATTGTTATTATGTAAAGTCGTCGGAACACCCAATGGGCAATACATAGGAAAAGCAGATAATTGTGAACAAACAAATGCAAGTAACCTCTAATATTAGTCTCAGAAAAATGTTATTCCCGTGAAATGTAGTGGTTGCTGAAAAGAAAGGTCCATAATCATGATGGGTGTGCCCGTTCAGGGATACCTGCGTCCGAGATGCGCGGACACCCGGCGCTTACAGTTTAGCGCTGGCAGGAAATGCCCAATATGGCCACCTTTCTAGGCTGGCATTTTATTATTGGAAAATATACTATTAATATGAAGCCACAAGGTGATTAGCTTGACCAGGAACAAAAATATATACTAGACGAGTTGATCAGGAACGGTGACTATAAAAGCGTTAGCTAAAACGTAGGTATGACCAGAGTATGATTTTTGTGAAAATTCCAAACCAAGGTTAGGAATTGGATAGCGTGATGATTTTCGTTGCGAATTTTACAAAATCTGAGTTAAAACAACGCTGAGACATTTATGCTCCGTCACCTACAAGAACACGACTATAAGCGGTAGGCATGCATGACAGAGAAATGCAAATCTGTAAATGTACTCAATAAATGCCTTTTTACAGTCGATTTTGATTTAGAATCCCAAAATAAAAATATAAAAAAGCAGCTGTAAATAGGCAAATACTGGATTATAGGTAAATAGCCAACTACAACATGCCCTTGCTAGCGCACCACTGCCCCCAAGCCAGATGTGTGGCCGTACCGCTAAAATAGTAGTATTTGTGAATATTAAAGAGCAGTGGGTCACTACATCTTCTACACAAACTTCATCAGAGCGAAAAAGAGATGAAGGAAGAGAGAGATGAAAAAGGAAAGAATTGGACCTCCAAACTAATACGACTCCCGCCATCACTTTCATCCAAAGAGTTAATGGGTGATATCTGCGCGGCAGCTGTCCAGTTTGTACCGTAACTATCTAGTGTGAGCAAGTTGTCGTCGGGGGACCTCCCTCAACATAATTGGATGCTTTTAACGTTCCCTCTTTTTACTACTGGCTATTGGTGGATTGTTCTAGCAGGACGAATGGAATGTCAGTAATTTCTGATATCGAAAAATATGCTTAGGTTGAGAGTTGAGCTTTGCTAGAGTTGGCAATGTAAAGAATATGACAATCTCCAGCATACACGCAGTCTTCCCTTGACTCGTACACTTTCCTCATGAATGGATGAATGGATCCGTCATAATAGGCGAGTTGCAGTTTATAAATGAAGCAGTATGATAGCAAGACAAAGAGCTGGAGATTTGCGCTGTAGTTGCCCTCCCGGATATATCAGTTTACGACTTCCCTNATTTCCTTCTAAGCTCGAAGAACGATGTTCTCTGTTATCTTCACTACTCCGTAATGGGGTGTGGGCACATCTCCCCGAAAATCGCGTCACGCTCGCCGCATACGTTCGCGCGTAATGGCGAGCATCCCTATGCAATTGATAGGAACACCCTATTGTCGTGAGGCTTCAATTACCGTTTTCGTCTCTACGATATCAAACTCCTTCTTGAAATCAATGATTGTAAGATATGACGGATATCTTGAACTCTCACAACATTTCTCCCTTGGACCTTTAGAAAAAAAATGATTATGACTCAAGAAAAAATGCAGAAATGCCAGTCAAGTCTTCCCTGTAAAAGAGAAGGTTGATATACAGATTGATCATCAACCTGTGCTGCTTCTACACAAAATAGAAGTTAATCCTCTGTACTTTCTTCCACGAGAACTGTCTCGGTCCACGTCGGTTCATCCTCGGGAAATTATTCTTTGAGATTTCCCTCGGTCCGAGTCGGTTCATCATCCGGAATTCCTCCCTCGATATTTGGCTCGGTCCAAGTCGGTTGATCCTCCGGAATTTCTTCCACGAGAGCTGCCTCGGTCCAAGTCGGTTCATCCTCCTGAGTTTCTTCCTCGAGATTTGGCTCGGACGTTGACATATTTGCTTAGTCAAGAGTCCTTTAATCAACTTACTTCGAAAAGTGGTTTAGGAAGCTTTCAAAGTGTTAACACAATCACAAAATCTTTCTGTACAGGCATGGTCGCTTCAATAATTGAACAGCCGGTTAAGTTCATGAAGGTTGTCCAATGAAAACCAATACTGTTGGGCATCACCGGCTGGAGAGGTTCTTCTTCCTCTCAATTCTGACTATTGACGATAAATGTATTTTTTGATATCTTACTGCAAATTACCAAAAGTGGACCAGGTGGTTAAACGAAATGAGGGTTGCCGAGAGTTTTGCTTTTAATGTAGTATGGAACGAACCAATGCTTGAAAGGTCGGAAATTTTTACCAACATTCACACAAAAGGCTTGACATCGCAGACTTCCTGCCACTTGGTACAGGGGGTTGATAGGGCAGTGAATTATACACATGATATTTGCATTGTAAAAAAAAAATAAAAAAAAATCACTGCAAACAAAAATTGCAGGACTGGGTGCACACAGCGACAGACCAATAGCGTGAGTGCGTGGGCGTCTGNATTGTAGCCGCAGGCGTTTGGAGCGCATCTTTGTCGGCGGAGCAGCTTAGCCGCCAATTTTTTAAGCTTGAGCGCCTACACCGCAATTTTTCAATCAGGGACCTCAATAGAAAAATATGTAAACGTTTAATCGAAGTCGTAGATACATCACAAAAAAAAATTGGGCAATCATAACTGCTAATTTGCTGATTTCGGACAAAATCAACAGCTTGATGTGTTATATTTTACAAATTTAAGCATCCCCATCGGTGGTTAAACTTGATAGAGACTGCTAATGTCCACTATTTCTTTTTGAAGGTGCCTATACCGTGAAAATCGTGTTGAGCCGTGGAATTCCCTGCAGTGACGCCCACGACTCTTCCGACGCCAAGGTGGATATTACACTTCCGACACAGCACTGGTCGTCTCCACGGTCGAATTGCTCAGGCTGGGGGACGGGCACTATAGTCCTTCAAATCGTTGCGGCACTACGTGCGTTCAAGGAAGCCAAATTGCGCGGCGAAAATCGCAACGATTTGAAGGACTATAGCGCCTATCATTGGGGCCCAAATTTGAAGTAGAATAGATTAGTAGGATCGGCCAACCCCCCTAAACTACTGTACGTCAAGTTTGTGCCCCGATATTAGGCGCCAGAGTTGTTCGAATCGCCACGAACTTCGCCGCACGATTTGTCGCAAATCCAGAATCGCACGAATCGCCCGTCCCCCTCTGAGGNCTACTCGGCCAGCGGTATCGACCAAGATTCAGTTGTAAACAAGGGGCAAGCGCCGCCCCCAGCAGGCGTGCCGCTCGCACGCGCGCTCGCCAGCCGGCCGGCGGACAATGAAAGCAGCCACTCGGTGACGTCGCTGCTCACCAGCTTTTGCTTGCGTATATGATTTCTGTACGTAATGTTTTCGCTACGATACGGTATCAGGTCTTAATTGTCCATTTATTACTTCCATCGCGGGAATTCCGTCATATTGATGTCAGTATGTCTCTCCTCACTTATTGCCTCTCCTACGTCAATCCTTATTATTTCGCTGACGCCAACTATACTAGAAATACAACAACTTTTACTGGCAGACTTCTTGCTACTCCTACTAAATTGTTCCTGAGTGACAGGTGGGTGCTAAAAATAGCGTGCAGTGCTCGCCACGCCCATCGACCAAGTCCATGGGGCCAATGGCGCACGGTCGCGCGCGTTTCAGAAATCATACTATGCACTCCCATACCTCTGGCTCCAAAAATGAGTCGCTTTTCAGCAATTCATTGAAAACGCTTCGTTACTCAGCCTCTTGGATGTTCGTAAGTCGGTTCTGTGACCTTTTACATTTTTTTCTTAACGTGCAATTTTACAATTTTACAAAACCAATTTCCTTCCTATCAGAAATAAGCGTAATGGTATGAATCTAGTTTCCGCAAACGTGTTTGACGTTCAAGAATGTTTC